TCCTTTTTTTTTTTTTAATAGCAAGTTTGTAAAGACTAAGTTTGAGGCCAGCCTCTGCTATGTGAGACCCCCTCCCCCTTCTTTTAAGTGTGGGGGAGAAGTTTTGGGGAGATGGAACACTCCAGATTTTATTTTATTTTTTTCTAGACAGGGTTTCTTTGTATAGTCTTGACTGTCCTGGAACTCGGTCTATAGACCAAGCTGGCCTTGAACTAATAGAAATCCACCTGCCTCTGCCTCTCAAGTGCTGGGATCTAAAGCATGTGCTACTATTTACTGCCCAGCTCATTCTAGATAGCCTGAAACTTACAGCTGTAAACAAGAGAGAAAGCGACCTTGCCACCAAACAAAGTCGAAGGCGAAGATGACACCTGAGGTCATCATCTGAGTTCCACACATGGCTGTGGCATGCATTCATGGCAAACAGACACACTCACATACATGAAGACTGATGTGATTCCCTGAAGGTGAATTATGCTTCAGGCAGCAAGATCTCTCCATGCACGAAATATCCAGAGTGACTTCTGTTTCCTGAACTGAACACCTGACATGGAGTGAAGGGCTCTAGACCAACAGGTAGCAAGGGGACTGAGGACATGTACAGCCCCATGGTGGGAAGTTGGAACCCTGGAGAGGCATGACCAGGGAAAAGGTCTGTGCATAATGATTGGCATCTTGGAGTAGAGCTTACTTTGACCCTCTTAACCCTGCAGCTAATTGAGCAGAACAAAACCAAGGTAGCCAGGTCTGTGTTGATGATAATGGAGCTAGTTGGAGGCTGGGCAGGTGGGGCTGCACTCTTGCCCTAGGATTGCAGCTATTACCTCCCCCAGCCACAAGTGATCTTAGAACATACTAGAGTTACAGGAAGTGGAAGGTTGACTGAAAGGAGGCTCCACAGGGCAGCTAGCTTCCATGAGGTCATTGTGCTGGGGTGGCTGTTTGTGGTGATGCAGGTAATTCAAGGTCACCTGTAAGTAACCCCTCATCTGTGCCCTGTAAGTGATGGGTAAGCTCACTTCTGCATTTCAGAAGGAAAGGTTACCAGAAGAGATTTTTTATTTTGTGTTATTTTGTTTTTTGAGGTGAGGTTTCTCTGTGTAGCTTTGGAGACTGTCCTGGAACTTGCTTTGGGGACCAAGCTAGCCTGGAACTCAGAGAGATCCACCTGCCTCTGCCTCCCTAGTGCTGGGATTAAAGGCACCACTGCCTGATACAATTTTTGTTTTTAAAGGCTGTCATTTAACATTTTGAAGTTTAAAATCCTCTAATAATCTCTGTGCTCTAAGATCTGATTATACTTAGTTTCATTCCTTCACAGACTATAAGAAAATATATTTACTATTATTGTATGGGTATAGGTAGATAGTTGCATGTATATCTTTACACTACTTGTGTACCTGGTGCCCACAGAGGCCAGAAGAGCGTATGGGAGCTCTTGGAACTGGAGTCACAGGTGGTTATGATCCACCATGTGGGTGCTGGGATTGAACTTAGAAGAGTAGTCAGCAGTCTCTTAACCACTGAGCCATTGCTCTAGCTCCCCCTCATAAATTTTGAATTGATGTCAAGTATATAAGTACTAAAGCAGACTTGCCCATAGGAATGAATGTTCTGAACTGGGTTCCAGTTTGTAGCCTTTATAAAAGTTGGTGCTGTCCCTCAAAGGAGAAGGAAACCTGGGCATAAGGAATGCCTCCCCATTTGCCTTTTTAACTGTAAAATAAGATCTAGCTGTAGTGAGGTGTTAGAATTTAGGTTACCATCCAAGGGTCATGCTTTTCCACTATAGCTCATAACTGGGCCATACCATGCCTTAAAAAAATAATAATAAATGAGCCAATCAGTGGTGTCACACACTCAAGAGGCAAGGCAAACTCTGTGAGTTTGAGGCCAGACTGGTCTACAGAACAAGGTTTAGGACAGCCAAGGCTACAGAGAAAAACTCTGTCTCAATAAACAAATAAATAAACTCACCATTTAAATGAAAACACAATTTGTATGAAGTTGTAAAGTCAGGGATGATTCTACTTTTTGGTCTAGGAGAGTTCCTGAAGGGCCGAGGCATGTGGATATTGCCTTTTTGAGGCCCTCTGTCACTGTCCATGGGCCTAACCACTGCTCTCTTGGGAAAACATGAGCTGATACTGCTGAGTCATCATAGTGGCCACAGTCTTCTTGGAGCCCTGTCCTGGACAACAATGAATTGTAGCTATGAAATAGGGGAATATAACAAGCAATAGAACAAAGTAATATGAATAACCAGAGTCCATCAACTGTTCCCTTTATGTTATAATTTTGAAAGAATTTCAGACTTTCAGTTTCCAAGTAACACAAGTGCCTCTTGTACAATGGCAATGCACCAATCAGAACAGAACAGTAACACGACAGAGCCATTAACCGTCCAAAGCTTAGTTCAGATCTCACCTGTGTTCCACGAGTGTCCTTTCTCTGTGTGTTTCAGGGCCCATCGTGGCATCCTTGCATTCAGTTGTTATACTACTCAGTCTCCTTCAGTCTGGAATAGTTCTCTGATCTTTCCCTAACTTTCATGACTTTGATGTTATTATTTTTTTTTTTCCTTTTCTTTTTTGAGACAAGGCCGTGCTATATAGCCAGGTTGACTTCAAACTTCGGATGTTCTTGCCTCTACCCCAACCTCCTAATTGCTGAGGTTGTAGGTTGTATCACATGACTTAATAATTCTTTTTCACGTGGGAAGTTTTACTGGGGGAAGGGAAAGGCGAGAGGGGAGAGAGAAGAGAGAGAGAGGAAAGACAGACAGACCTGCCTGCCTCCTCAGAGTAACGGCGGAAAGAGAAGCAACCTTATCATTTTTGAAGTTCTGTAGACCAGTGCTATCCAGTAGAATTTTCTAAGATAGAAATGTTCTGTATCTCAATGGCCAATACACAGATGAATTTTGCATTTGAAATGTGGCCAATGGGGCTCAGAATGCCAGGGGCATGACATTGTCCCTTTTCTAGATTTCTAAGAGCTGTTGACAGGTGATTGGGAACCAGGCAGGCCAGGAAGCTGAATTGTTTCAATGCCCTTCGAAGCCCAGCAAGGACAGAGCTATCTATAACCACATTTAGAAGCCAGTCCCCACAGGCCTGCTGCTCTGCTTATAAGCATTAAATAAGAGGCCATGGTGGTTTGCAGCAAGACTAAATCACCAATACTTACTTTTTAAAAAAAAATTGCTTTAGACATTTTCAAATTTTTTTTTAATTAAATTTTTTTGTTTTGTTTGTTTTGTTTTTGTTTTTCAAGACAGGGTTTCTCTGTACTGCTTTGGAGCCTGTCCTGAAACTAGCTCGGTAGACTAGACTGCCCTTGAACTCACAGAGATCCACCTGCCTTTGCCTCCCAAGTGCTGGGACTAAAGGCATGCGTCACCAATGCCTGGCTTCAAATTTGTTTTGCAGTCAGGGGGACAGATGATTGTGAAGATCAGAAGACAGCTTTCGGGAGTTCTTCCAACATCTTTGTCCCAGGAATCAAACTTATGTGTGAATTGTACAGGCTGAAAATTGTGAACTATCTACACAACGACCAAGAACAGTGTGGTGATTTGTATGAAAATGGCCCTCATAGGCTCATCGGGAGTGGTACTATTAGGAGGTGTGGTTCTATTGAAGAAAGTGTGTCACCAGAGATGGGCTTTGGGTTTCAGAAGCTCAACCTAGCCCAAGTGGCTCACTCTCCCTTTCTAGTGCCTACCAATCCAGAAGTAAGAACTCTCAGGTCCTTCTCCAGCACCGTGTCTGCCTGCACACTGCCATACTTCCTGCCATGATGGACTGAACCTCTGAACTGTAAGCCAGCCCTCAATTGAATTGCTGTAGTCATAATGTCTCTTCACAGCAACAGGAACCCTAAGGCAAACAGTAATAAAATCTCAAAGAGTTCCAGAATCTTTGTCACATAACTAATTCTGTTTGGCAGAGTTCTAACCTCAGTGATCCACAGAATCTGTGCTAGATAGGAAAATATACCATTAAGATGTCACTGATGTATTCTTCAAAATTTTTCATATTTTACATATATGGGGGGGGGGATAGATGCCAATGCTTTTGGGAATCGATTCTCCTTCCCTCATGTAGATTATAGGAAGCACACTCAGATCCTCAAGCTTGGCAGCAAGTGCCTTTACCCACTAAGCCATCTCACCAGCCCTTGCTGATACACTTTTAACATACGCTCAAGCCCTGTACTCACCATCTACAGCTGGCTCTAGGACATTTCTACCTCTAGGCGTGCCAAGGTAACTAATATGATTTCTTTTTAAGTACATTATTTTTTACTTCTTGTCGAAACATCTGACTGGAAGCAGAAAGCATTTTGTTTCCGTTAGCTGGAGTTACAAGCAGTTGTAAACCGTCAGACATGGGTGCATACCTCTAAGTCTTGCTGCACCTTATTCCCATGGTCCCTGCTCACGGTCACAAGGGTGTGTCGCCTGCCTAGGCATTCAAAACCCCTGTGACATTTGCGTGGCACCCCACCCTTATGGAGCACTGCTTGCCAGGCATTGGAGACCCTCTCTCCTCCAGCTGTTAGCTAGAAGAGATGCTTTGCTGAGTTGCATGGGACCGAGTCCAAGAAAGGCAGTTTTCTGGGCTTCTGGACTTCCTCTGGAAACTGCTTTAGACCAAGCAGAGAAGGAGAAAGCAGGGAGAAAAAAAATCTGCTCCTTCGCGCCTCTGCAGGGAGCCAGAACGCCCCCCAAGTAAGCACTAGCGGCTAGACCAGAGTCTCATCCAATGGCCCCCACGATCGGCCTGGCCCTCCTTGCCCAGCCAACAGCCTAGCTTCCGACCCACCCTGCCCAGCCAATGACCGCGATTCCGGTTCCGTCCCTCCCGTCTCCCTCCTCCCTGGCCAATGGCCGCGCTGCTCGCCCTGCCCGCCCCGCCCTCTTCATCTGGGAGGGTTCTGCACGGTCGCAAGCAGGTCAACTTGTTGCCTACTCTGGTTTCCTCTTGGTAAGTTCGCAGCCTGGGAGTGGGTTCTCCGGGCTCAGTGCTCACCAACGCCCTTCAGGGAGGGGGCCTTGGACGGAGCCCAGTGCGGCTCGGAGTCCGCAGGATCGCCCCGGGCACGCGGGGTCGGGGAGGCTCCTGACCTGATTATGGGAGAGTGCGGCCCACCCCATACGGATTCGGGACCCCGGGAGTCCCTCCCGCCGCATCCAGCACCCTTAGCGAGCAGGTAGGTGGTGCAGAGCGTTTGTCTGGGCTGGATAGGAAGAACTGCGGAGTGCCTGTCCCCGTCCCTGGTGACTCCAGCGAGGCCTGGCCGCGCGCAACGATCTGTGACAGTCGCTCCAGGGAGTAGGTCTGCCAGTCCGGACTGTCGCCCGATCCCGGGTCTGACAGTTGTGGGTAGTGACACCTGTTCAAAACAGCCTCCCTGCACTTGGAGGCCTGGGACCGGCCAGGAATCCAGTTTGAGGCCAGGAGACCTGTCCTTCGGGAGTGTGTCTATTTCTTTCCGTGACCTGGTCGGAAGCTTTACTGTGTCCAAGACACCACTGCCATCTATCTCCTTTTCTCTGAGATGGCAAAGAAGTTTGAAGAAAAGGATGAAAACAAAACAAAGCCAAGTGCCCCCCCCCCCATGTTCTTTGGATACTGTGAAGCTTCAAAAACTTGAAGGGCATTTGGCCTTGATCTCAGAACTCAGGCGAATGTCAGTGAGGGCGCCATTAACGCTAGCTGTGTCTGGGAGAATTTTATGTTTTCAAGGAGCCTAAATGCTTCATCTTCCCACCCTGTAGTCCTATGCCCAGGCAGTGAGCGACCTTGGCATAAAGATGGACTTGGTGGCTCTCCTGTTGTAGGGGTCTCCATGCTCTGTTAGTCCACGGCAAAAAGTCTGGGTTCAACCCACACTGTCAGTGGTGTGGCACAGTGTCACTTGCTTTTTGCTCGTGATTGTGTCAAAGGACTAACTGAAAGAACCTTAGGTTGCTCTTCCTAACAATGAACCTTCAAGAAAAGAACAAATGTGAGCTTTCCTCTGCTTTTGGTGGGGCTACATGCCCCCCCCCATATGTGCATTCAGTGTTGTGGCTGGACCGCAGAAAATCACTAATTTGACTCCCTTATGTCTTTCTAGGTGATCTGGGCAAGGAAGGGAAGGGTCATCAGCCTGTCCGTCACTGAGCTATTCTTTTTCATTAGCTGAAGGCCCAACAGACCTTAATCTTACCTCCCTGATTTCCTGACCTTCCATCTAAAGCTCTCCATAGCAATGTAGCGTTTGGTAGTTAGCGGGAGATAACCTCAGCAGGGGCTGAGGTCACTAGGCAGACCTGGCATTTCATCTTCCACCTACAAGGGCCCTGCACCTGCAGCAGCTACACTGTCTCCCAGGGGCCTCATATTTCAACCAAGAGCACTTGCTTCCCTCTTATCCCCCTTCCTTCTTCTCTTTTGAACAATATTCTTGGAATCCAACAAGTTGAATTTGTCAAAATGGAGCTGTGAAGTGCTCTCTGTCTGTGGCTTCTCCCTGACTTCCCTAGTGTAGTAAATGGCACACACCTTCCTTGCCCCGGCTCCCAAGAAACAATGTTTGATTCTTTCCCCCACCTCCCATGTGTACAAAGCACCAGGAATATAGCTGCCATCACCACCTCTGGTTGCCATCCTGGCCACACCCATCATCCTTTTCCCACTTGGTCTCTTGATTTATCACCCTTCTTCTATCCTGGGTGTCTCAAAGGCCTTCAAACCTCTGGAGAGTTCTACAGTGCAAGTCAGAGCTTCTGCTTTCCATTGATCCCCCTGTTTCTCACCAAATAAAGCCCAAAAAGTCCTTCCCACAACACCTTACATGCTAACCTCTTTGACCTTGACCTCGCCCCTCTTAGCTTTCCATACCACTTCACTCACATACTTTCTCTTCAGACACGCCAAGCTCTTAGAACTTGGGGTGTTTGGAGAGAAACACACATCTTAGAACTTTTGCATCTACTTTGCCTTCTGCTCAGGTATTTCCTCCCAGAGTTCTGCCCCATTGTCTCCTTTTACTTTCTTCATAATCAGAATTACTTTCTGGACTTGTCGTCTAGGTTTGTGCTAACAGATCTGTGACCAGTTCCACTCCAATAGTATATAAATTGGATGTGGAGGGCACAGTGCCCTTGTCTTCTTAGTCCTGATGGGGAGGGCAAATAAGAGACAAGTAAACAAACACACTGTGGCGCTGCATAAGTAATGTTTGCTTGCATTTAAGGCACTTTAAATGCTTAAATTTAGGGCTGGTGAAATGGCTCAGCAGGTAAAAGTGTTTGCTGTCTAAGTCTGATGGCCTGAGACCCAGCTCTAGAACCCAAAATGGAAGGAGAGAATCAACTTACAAAAGCTCTCCTCTTGTTTCAGGACCGGCTCCAAAAGCAAAACAGAGGAACAGTGTTGGGGGGGAGGCGCTGATCTCTGATTTTCATATGTGTACTTGTGACATGTGGGCGCACATTCACACACCCATCATACAATACTATAATAAATGAATGAGTGTTTAAAAGTGGCCCCTTTAAAAAATTAACCTGAAGGGAGCTGGAGAGAAGGCTCCATGGTTAAGAACACTGGCTGCTCTTCCAGAAGACCTGGGTTTGATTCCCAGCATCCATATGGCCATTCACAGCTGTCTGTAAATCCAGTTCCAGGAGATACGATGCCTCCTCCTGGCCTCCATGGACATCAAGCTCAAAAGTGGTGTGTAAACATACATGCAGGTAAAACACCTATATACATAAACAATTTGAAAAATAAATACTTTTAAAAATTTGGCCGGGCAGTGGTGGCACAAGTCTTTAGTCCTAGCACTCAGGAGGCAGAGGCAGGCAGATCTCTGTGAGTTCAAGCCCAGCCTGACCTACAGAGAGAGAGTTCCAGGACAACCAAGGCAGTTACACATAGAAACCTTGTCTCAAAAAACCAATGTATGTATGTTGTGTATTTAAATTTAAGCTTACATGCCTGAACTGTGCAACTGTGTTGCACAAGCTCTCTGAATCATTTTTAAAAATAATTTTTAAAATGTATGTTTACGTCTGTCTGAGTGTATCAAGTGTGTGCAGGCTAAAAAAGAGAGTCAGATTTGCCTGGAACCAGAATTATGGGCAGTTTTGAGCCACCAGATGTGGGTGATCTGGAAAAGCAACGAGTGTTCTTTTCCACTAACCCATCTAAACCAGTGGTTCTTCTAACGACTCATTCACAAGGTATATGTTATGATTCATAAAAGTAGTAAAATCACAGTTATGAAGCAGCCACAAAAATAATCTTATGGTTGGGGGTCACCACAACATGAGGAACTGTATTAAAGGGTTGCATCAATAGGAAGGTTGAGAACCACTGCTCTAAACCACGTCTTTATTAATGTTCTCAAGTGAGCATGCTTTTCCATTAAACCACTAAGCCATCTCTCCAGCCCCTCTCTGAACCATTTTATGGGAAGGGCTGGTAATTTGCTCTGAGTTGTAAAGTGACTTCAGTGTAGCGAACTCAGTGTTCTCCCATGAGAATATATGTGTGCATATATGGCAAACTAGTGGGCTTGCATCATGATCCAGAAACAGTCTGATCTGAGAGACCTCAGTTGTTCGGTATTCAGGTAGCTAGCAAGCGCCCCCCCCCCAATTTATTGGTGCTATATTTCCTCCAACTTTACACTAGCATTATTCTATCATCATCATATTGGGAAGCTCCCTTTGTTTTCAGTATACCCAAAAGAAGCAATATTAATAGGTGACTCTTGTATTATCCCTCTTTAGAGATAGGACGGCATCTAGTATCTTTCACAGTCTCAGCAGCTAACGGTACAAGCAATATCAAATCCTTAGAAAATGATGAAACCCAGCTGGGCACTGGTGGCCCACACCTTTGATCCTAGCACTCGGGAGGCAGAGGCAGGCAGATCTCTGTGAGTTCAAGGCCAGCCTGGACAGGCTCCAAAGCAATACAGAGAAACCCTGTCTGGAGAAAACCGAAAACGGACAAAAACAAAGAGAAAGAAAATGATTAAACCCAAAAGGCAGAAGTGGGCACTAGAGAGATAGCTCTCTGTTCATCAATTCACTTTCAAGGGAATTATTTGAGAGCCCTTGGATCCAGCTGGTAGTAACACAGGCTGTTTAAAGAAGTGGAAGATTAGGACTGGAGAGGTGGCTCAGCAGTTGGGAGAGTGCACAGCTGACCAGAGTTGTGATCCCAGCACCCACATCTGGCAGCTTGTAACTACCTGTTACTCCAGCTCCAAGGGTTGCAGTGCCCTCTTCTGGCCTCCCCGGGCACCTTCCCTCACACACATATCCACACCCATACCCACACATATACACATACTTTTTAAAATTAATAAAAGAAATATTTAAAAAAGAAAGAAGTGAAAGTTAAAGGAAATAAAGCAAAGATTCTAAAAGCCGAGAAAGAATTGCCTGCCTCCAACCCCACTGCCAACTTGTTGCCCTGTGTGATCTTTCTTCTAGTCCATCCTTCTCAGTCCATCCTACCCTTCCCAGGGCCGGAGTCCACTCCAGAAGCTGAGCAGCCATGACATTTGCTGAGGACAAGACCTATAAGTATATCCGAGACAACCACAGCAAGTTTTGCTGTCTTGACGTTTTGGAGATCCTGCCTTACCTGCCCTGCCTCACAGCCAGTGACCAGGTGAGCCAGGGAAGCCACAGCTGCCCAGTGCACCGGCACAGGGCTGTGCCATCCAAGTTCAGCCTGTCCCAGCCCTTCTCCCAGGCCAGGGCCCCTGAGATTGCCGCCTGCACTGCTTTTCTAACTTTCAGATTAAGCTTATTTACAGTGGCTTTTCTAACCTAGTTGAACTCCTTTCGTTTTTATGCTGCACTCAAGAACATGGCACCAGATGGGCAGGTTTCCAGGCTCTGGCTCTAGGGAGCCTTCTCTTTGCTTGTCTTTGGATCTTGGTCTTACTGGGTCTTGATTCATTCTCTCATAGGATCTTATCTTGGACTAGAGTCTGGAGTGTCTGTCCTGAGGGAGCAGCCAGTGTCTTGCCGCATTAGGACTTGGTGTGGGCTCCTGCACTCACCAGCCATGAAGTGGTTTATAGGTCTTCTCAGATGGCATGGGTTCCTGTGCTCCCAGCATCTGCCTGTGCTGTTGGGGCCAACTGTTCTAGGTGTCTCATGAGTACCGTTGTTTCCTGCGCAGTCTCCCGTGCAGATACTGTTACAGCGCAGGTCTGGGCTGTAACACCTTGTGTTGGGCATCCATCGGGACACTCTGCCATCTAGTGTGTAGTAAATACTCCCTGTGGATTGTCACTTGGTTTTCTTTTCTTCTCCTCCTCTTCCTCCTAATCCTCTACCAAGTTTTCCTCTTCCTCTTCTTCCTCCTCTCTCTTCCTTTCTTCTTTCCTCCTTCCTTTTTCCTTCTTCTTCAGACAAGGTCTTACCATATAGCCCAGTCTGGTTTCAAACCCATAATCCTCCTACCTCAGCCTCCCTAGTGTTGGGACTACAAGCTGATTGATGCTTTTCAATTGGGAATCCAGTGAATAAAAATACTACAGCTGGTGTTATATTTCTAGAATTTCCACAGTATTCTTACCTGTCTTGCTTCCCATTCTTGGTCCCTTCCCCTTTCTCCTCTGCCCCCTTCATCCCATTGTTGCTGGGCCTCTTTTCCTTCCCATCTCATTCCCTCTTCTCTTTGCTTTAGTGGCTGCCTGATTGAAGCTTTGCCCCTTTTGCTGCTTTGCTTGTGCTAAGCCTCTGTCTCCTTATCTTTAAAGTGGGGATGATCGCAGCATTTAATGAGACAGTGCCTGCAAACCTAGACATGGCCAGAGCCTTTTCCTGGCAGCACCCTTTATTGTTGTCGACTGCTCCTCCTCACTCCATACTTGGGCTACCACCCTGGCCTTGTCCTGCCGCTCACCCAGTTTCAGGTAGCTGCCCTTCCTCTTGTGGCTTTCTTAGTGTCCTCTTTGCAGTAGCTCTCGTCTGAGCGGAGAAAAGGCTAGGCCCGAGTAGGGTGGCTATACTGTCTTACAGGATCGACTGCGGGCTTCCTACAAGCAACTGGGAAACCAGGACACACTCTGGGAACTCTTCAATAAGCTCCAGCGTCGGGTTGGCTGGGTAGAGTTCTTCATCCGGGCGCTGAGGATCTGTGAGCTGCCTGGACTGGCTGACCAAGTGACTCGAGTGTATCAGAGCTACCTACCTCCTGGTGAGCATCCTGCCCCAGCCTCCTTCCCGGGCCCTTGCCTGTTTCTCGGGCTGGCAATCTTCCTCTTCCTTCACCTTGTACCTCTTGCCTTTCTATCTCCATCACTCTCCATCATAGGATATACCTAGGCTTAGCCACTCACTAGCTATGTCCCTTTGGCCCTATCCCTTTCTTTCATAGTCTGTCGCAGTGGGGCTAATGGCCACATCCCTCATGTGTGGCTGCAGATGCCTGTCGAGTGCCTCACTGGAGTTCCACGCCTCCCCTGTGCCCAGCACAAGGCACCTGCTGTCAATTTTGTAGCTCTGGTGTTTGCCTCCCTCCCTGGTCCTGGTTTTCTCTCTCCTGTCTCCTTTCTCTACAATGTAGAGTGTAGAGTCTATGCCCAGTCGCTCACCCCACTCTTCATTTCTCTTCCCCTCCCCAAGGTTTCCGTAAAAACATCCTGGTTTCTAAGCCCAACACCCAGCTGCCCAGTCGCTCCTTAATTCCTCTTAATGTCCCTGCCAAGTCATGTGATGGAGATGGGGGGTGGGGAGGTGTTGGTAATTGGGCCTGAAGAGAAGATCCAGGAAGAAAAGTCAAGCCAATCTTGAACTCCCCATGTTTGCTTTTCTTTCTCTTTTCCTCCCTTCTTTCCAAGTTGGTCGTCTCATTTGTGGGAGTCAGCAGTGCTCTCTCAATAGAAATGACTATGGGAGAGGTCGGAGACAAGGATCATTTGGGGATGGCTGCTGAGAGGAGAAAGCCTTGGGACAGGGGAATGGCCACTGATAGTGTGAGGGGCTCCTGCCCCTCCACCTCCCTCACCCCCTTTCCTGTCTTCTCCAGCTCCTCTTCCCTGCCCCCTCCCCAATGATGCTTATCACCTCTAACAAATTCATCCCTCATCAGGTCAGCTTTTGGAATTATTTAAGGGAGACATCTCAAAGCTTCCAGGCCTCTTCTGATACCAGAATACTTCTGATTTTTCTGGGATCTTCATCTTTGTCCTTTAGGAACTCCACTCCGCTCCCTAGCCCCACTGGAGCCACCAGCAGTCCCTGCCACAACTTCAGGACCTTCTGCTGTTCCAGGCCACAGCATCCCTGGCAATAGCTACCAAGAGAGACCAGGCTACCCCAGGCCTATCCAGGACACTCAGCCACCAAAGTCCCCAGGAGAGGTAGGTCTGCTTCAAGCCCCCTGCTTTTGTGTGCCTGCCCACTTCTGACCACCCAGCCTTCCAGAAGCCCCTTGCTACCTCCTGAAAACCACGCCTTATCTCTGCTAAGAATACTAGAGTTCCCTCACTAGCTACCTGACTGTTGGCCAGGCCTGTGGTCACCTCGGCAGTCTGTCATCAGCTAGCTAGGAGGCATGGTTTTGAGGTCTTTGCAATGGTCATGTGACATGTTGAGCTGAGTAAAAGATTGGGGGGGGGGAGGGGGAACCAGATTTGAATATGAGGGAGGTTATATGAAGGCTCAGGAAGTCATGGGTGACAGGGTTCTTAATTATCAATAGTGAAATCAGGTATGGGGGAAAGATAACTAGTTCTACTGAGATAAGGTGAGTCAGCCATGGGGTGTAGACGAGACCCCAAACTGTGGGTCTGAAGCCATAGGGTCTGCGCAGAAACTGCTAAAGGAAGGGCTATACGCAGTGGTTACAGACCCAGACACAGGCACATGGATAGGGAACTTGGGCAGGACATTTCTTTCTTTCTTTTTTTTTTTTTAAGGCACTTGAGGTCATTCTAAGAGGCTGGGACGTGGCTCTAGGTTGGTGGAGCTCTTGTCTGGCATACACACAAACCTGAATTCAATTTCCAACACCATATAAGCTGGGTATGATGACACATGCCTGTAAGCTAAGTACTCAGGAAGTACAGGGGGTAAATAAGAACTTACAGAGTAAGTTCAAGGCTAGGATGGGATAGTAATAGCAACAACAAAACCAAATAGATTCCAGGGACTTGTATTAGGCAAGTATATTATTGATGAGCTACCCACTGGTGTGTGAAGATAACCTATGGCCAGAAGCAAAGCAAGGGTTCCCGGGATCCTGGGAATAGGAGCTAAACCTAAAGATGCCCCATAAATGTCCACTACTCTTTGTCAGCTTTTGGGAGAAGCAACTGCCTTTTTTTTTCTCTCTCTCTCTCTCATTTCTTCTATTGCAGAGTTTAGAGCAAGCCCCACAGGCCAGCCTTGGGGCCATCCCGAGGATGTCTGGTAGCTCTTTGATGCCCTCATCTAACCTGCAAGCTGTCAGCTCTCAGCCTTCCAGAGAACACCATGGTCAAGAGCCAGAAGTGGGTGGCACCAACACAGCAAGTATGCACATAATGTAGTATTACAGGGTCTCTCAGACCTCTCAAGTGAAGGTTAGGGTTACAGTTATCACCTGGCCTTTCTCGGACAGGATGCAGGATAGGAATAAAGGGTATTCCCTTCAGAGAGTGTGCATGTGTACGTGTGTGTGTGTGTGTGTGTGTGTGTGAGAGAGAGAGAGAGAGAGAGAGAGAGAGAGAGAGAGAGAGAGAGAGAGAGAAGAATAACAGCAGCTTAAATTGCACACGGCTCAGCTGGGTAGGTCTTCTGGTTTTGTTGACATCCTCTTATCCTCCCTGACATACATTTGTTCTGCTAATATCCATTGGCTGGTGCCTCTTCGTTCTCTCATCCTCTAGCACACAAACCCAATTCATTGCATCTGGGCAAGGCTCTAGGTAAAAGAAAGGCAGGGCTGTGAGGCATAGGCTCAAAACTGGCCTCATTACTTCAAAACAAGTTATAAGGCCAGGCCAGATTCCGAGAATGGAGAAACTGGCAAAATCACATTGGAGAGTGTGGTTGCGGTGTAGGTGTGTATTGCTATACATTGCTGCATGTGAGAGAGAGAGTTAGGGCTATTTTTGCACTCAGGTAAAAGGACCTGGTAGGGATTGTCCAGAGCCTGAAGGAGGGATAGCATAGGACTAGCTGATGAGGGATAGCATAGGACCCTGTTCTGTACAAGGCGGTCTCTATTTCCCGGCTGTGGTGGTTAGAATGGGAATGGCTCCTGGAGGCTCATGCATTTCAATTCTTAGTCCCTAGTTGGTGGAACTATGTAGAAAGAACTAGGAGGTGTGGCCTTGTTGGAAGAGGTGTGTCAAAGAGGTGGGCTTGGAGGTTTCAAAAGCCAAGGCCATCCTTAGTCAGTGCTCTCTCTCTCTCTCTCTCTCTCTCTCTCTCTCTCTCTCTCTCTCTCTCTCTCTCTCTCTCTCTCTCTCTCTCTGCCTTATGCTTGTGGATCAGATGGAAGCTCTCTGCTACTGCTCCATCACCATACCTGCCTGCCTGCTGCCATGCTCCACACCATGATCCTCATGGGCTCTAACCCTCTGGAACAGGGAGCCCCAGCCAGATGAAGTGATTTCTTTCATAAGTTGTCTTGGTCACAGTGTTGTCACAGCGGTAGAAAAGTAACCAAGACACCAGGAAAATCACTAAAGTGTTTCAACTCCAGATGAGTCAGTCAGGGATCAGAAGAACCGGGTGCCCCACCCCACCCCAGGGCTGTGCTCCATCCACCCTGGCTTTCTAGGCTAGAATGGCTCCCCTCTACCCTTAACTGTTCTGTTTGTCACAGGTGCCTGGTCAGCCCTCAGCGCCCTATAATTGCTGTGTGAAGCAGTTAAAGGTTGGGGGAAATCATCTTAGTGCTCCCAAATTCTTTCATCCCCACACAGCCCCCAGTCACTGTGCTTTGTAATGTCAGCTTGTCACAAGACGTTTCTCGGGAAATATTGCTGTGACCTATGGGGCTACAGGCATTTCATTTGTAGCATGTTTATGATCACAGGTACCTGGAGATTTTCCGTTAGGTTTCGGGGGAGACGTCAGACATCACATCTGATGTCTGTCAGCCTTGGCATGCGTGTCCTGAGAGTTCTCTGAAGAGTCTGGTAACATCACCCTTATGCACTGTTACTGCCTGCTGCTTCCGGTTTCCCCAGATCAAGCTCCCTTTCTGGGACTACTAGGTCCTTGATCCTTGGGGCATACGCTTGTGGTTCCATTGACTGGTGTTAGTGGTTCTATTGAGCAGTCCTGCTGTTCCTTTCCCCAATTCAGGACTGCCCTTTCTGGAAGATAGACGGGGACAGTGGTGAGGGAAGTGTCTCAGGACACTCACACTTATGCCCAGGACAAGTTAGATGAGGCAGAAGTGGGAGAAGAGGCGAGTGTGCAAGGTGGAAGGAAAAAAAGAATAATTTATAGTGAGCATCAAGCTTTTGGGTGTGGATGAAGGCAGAGGCCGTTTTATTCTGAGGACAGGACAGACTAGGGCTGTGTCTTCTCCATGAGCAGGAAGCGGGGAGACTGGATGTGATAGGGGCAGTGTAACCAAGGTCATGGGGACCCTTCTCTAGCCCTTATTGTAAAACCATCTTTTGGGTTTCTGTTTTTGTCTCCCTACCTGTAGGTGTTGACTCCATTCCCACACCACTCCATGGACCCGTGTCTCCAACAGTTTCCTTCCAGCCCCTTCCACGTACCACCCAGCGGACAAGCCACTTGCCTGGGGTCACGGTGTCAGTTCCATCTCCTGATACCTCCTTGCCTTCCTCCTCCTCTGGATTGGCTTTTGCAAAGGGAGCTGGTGACCAGGCCAAAGCTGCCACCTGTCTCAGCACTGATGGGGGAGTACCCACCAATTCTGTGACCACCAGCTCAGTGCCGCCTTCTACCAGATCGCTACCGGTGACTACCATGTCTTCCAAAGTGTCCTCCAAGTTGCCTATCAGTACAAAGTCCACTGCTGCAATGCCCTCTGCTGTGCTCACCAATATAGCGCCATCAAGATTACCCATCAACTCAGCATATGCTGGCACAATGCCATCCAAAGTGCCTGTTAGTGTGGCCAAAGCACCTGCCAGTGTAATGCCGCTCAACAGGAGCAACAACCAAGCCAAGGTAAGACTTCGTTCCTCCTAATAGTCACTCAGTCCGCTTTGCCAAGACAGCAGGTCCTCTGCCCTGGCCTCTGACCCTTTCAGTCTCTGTGCTGTCTCTGGTCTGGTTCATCTAGGTGTTGGGACAGATGGGGATCAGCCTCATCCAGCCCTTACCCCTTGTTGCCTCATCCAGCCCTTACCCCTTGTTTTCAAGGAAGAATGATGGACCTTCAGCAGGGTGGGGCATGGGACCATCCCCACTGACATGTATATTAACTCATTTGGAGCTTAAAGCCCCCAATTAAGCTCAGCAGTACCATTTTGTAGATGAAGTAGTGAGGGATGGGCATGATGGTTCCTGTGCTTTGTTCACTGGACAGTGGTCTCAAGCATCCAGCTTGGAGCAGCTACTCCAACTCAGTGATCCCTGCCACCACTTTCCCCAAGGCCTTACAGATGTTCACCCAAAGGAGCCCAGTTCATAAACCTTGGGATCTTGTGGCTGCCTTGTGGCTCTCAGGCCCAGGTAGTGCAAGATGGGTCACACCCCAGCAAGGGCTTCCTAGCAGTGATGCTCACAGCAGCTCAGTGAGTGGGAGAGGGCTGCCCTGGAAGGATTACTGCGGGGTCTTTGTCACTTCCTTCCCGGCTGTGTATGTATCCCTGATGTGTTAAACCCCAAGAGAGGGTGGTCTCAGCTATTGTGGGATGCTAGTTCATGCCCTGGCCACACAACCAAGCTTGTCCCCCTGTCACCTGAATCCCTTCCACCATTCTCCTTATGTTTCCAGGAGACTGTAGAGCCTCCAGCAACCACAGTCACCACTAGAAGCAGCTTGCCTGGACCAGATAGCAGTTCCAGGAGCTTGTACTCTGGGGCAGAGATGAGCAAACCAGGTGTGCTGTTGTCCCAGGTGGATGAGCCATTCTCAGGCTGCTCTATGGACCTCGCCATCAGCCCTAGCAGCTCCTTGGGCTCCGAACCCAATCATGGCCCAGAGGAGAATGAGTATTTGTCCTTTAGGATGCAGGTGGATGAGGACCCCAGTGCTGACCTCCTGGCAGGAAACCCTGGGCCACTAGCCACCCAGAAGCCCTCAGAAGATGAAGAGCTTTGTGTCAGTCAAATATCCTGGGCTAAGTGGCTCGGGGCAACCGGTGCACTTTTGGCTGCATTCCTGGGAGTGATGCTGTACCGTAGTAGGCACCTGGCCCAATGAATCCTCAGCTGTGTGCCACTCACTTGCCCAGTTCTGCCAAGAATGGTCTCTGGGCTCAGGCTGGTGGAGGCTGAGTTGGGGGAACTTAGAGATGGTGAATCCATCGAGCTGTCTGGGTGGAAACTGCACCAAGACTCCGTCCACTGTGGGGTAGGGGAGAGACATTCTTTCCATCGTAATTCATGCCATCTTCCGGTCTTTAGCTTTTTGGGGCACTGGATTACCTCCACTGCTTCTGACCTGCCCACATAGCCGTGTAGGATTTTGTGCTGTGTGTTCCTAAGGGGGTGTCCCCACTGGCCTCATCCTTGTTGGCCCAAGTCTGAAGATCGGGAGGTATCACACTTCTGTTGACAGTGCCCTTCATCCTGCGCTGGTCTCTTGAAACACAAGCACAGGTGTATTGTTGAGAGCTCCCATAACGTCTTGTGCCTTCCACCAGCAGCCTGGCCTAAGGCCTTGGTACTAGAGCCTGGGAACAGCAGAGTGGCTGGTTTTTAGGAAGCTTTGAATCCCGTCTCTCTGTTCCCCCTCCACAGCCAGGCAACCCTAAGGGAAGGTCTGTAGGTTCTCAGGGCTGTGGACCCCTGAGAAAGCCAGAAGCAGCTGCCAGGTCTAAGGGAGACCTGGAGCCCTGCTGCAGCCTCCTTACCCCACCTCTTCTTCCCTCCTGGTCTCCATTCTCTTTGGTGGGCGGAGCGCAGGCTGGGCTTGGATTTCAGTTCCATGCTTTCTCTGGCTTTAGCAGATGTTTAGCTTCTGGAGTCTTTTCCCCAGTGTGGACAGTGAGCCCTTTTACTGGGCTTTTCTGAGGCTGAAGGACATAGATATTTACCTAGTGCCTAGCCCAGAGGGTATGACTACCAACTAATTACCCTCCTGCCCACCTGGTTGAACAAGGTGAGCTTGAGAAGCAGAATATATGTTGGCAATGGTACAGTCTTTGCTAGTGAGAGAACAGCCTTGGCCTACATAGTGATCTCTGGCAAAGTATAAACCTCTGGGCCTCACTTTCTCTCTTGTGAGATGGGGCAAATACACATACATATGCGCTAATGTGTTCTGGTTTTATCAAGATAATTAAATTAAAAGAGTTTATCTATGAAAATCTGTGAGTTCCGCATTTTTTAGGGGTTGGATACATGTTATCAGTTTTAAATGGAAAGGTACTGGGTCTCTTGGCTGCACTGTTAGAGATAGGTGCTAGCATATTCTTTCCTCTTCCATGGGCAGAAAATTTAGTCACATCTACATCAGACATACAATGAGGTAGGTGTAGTGTGTATAAATAAGAATCTGGGAAAATGATAGGTTAATGGATGTTTATTCGGAAAGAAATGACTTACACCAGAAACAGATGACTGCCAGCAGGTTCCTGTCCCAAGGATGCCTCCGGATGCTCTCTGTCTCCAACCAGGAAGCAAGAGGCAACGCTGGGGTCCAGGACCCCAGAACTAGTTCCCCCAGGTCATGCCCACATCTGTCTCCATGCCCCCATGGGCGTGGTCAGTGCAACAGATGTGGGTGGGGTGGATATCTCACTATAATTCCCCTTCTAGTCTAAAAAAAAGATTTAGGCTTGATATAAAACTATATACAAAGACAATAAATATCAAGTATGCTCTAGGAAAAGGAAATTAAGAACATACAAACTTAACACCTACATATCCAGTCGTAGGGTGAAGGTGTAACAGAGATTACTATAGAGTTGTCCTAAGCTGGAAGGTTTAAGTCTTGTGCCTATCTATCTAGGAAGAGAGAACAATAATTGTGGCAGTCTAATCTTTAACCTCATCAAAGATCTGAGAAGGAAGATAGCAATACTAGGGTAGGCAGGAAGTACAGGCAAGCAGCTTCCAAAAGTTGCAGCAAGGACAGAAACAGCAGGCTACCTGGACAGTCACCTAAAGTCTCATAGCAACATCGGGACAACCAGCTATGGCTAAGGCCTAGAGTATCTGACTGACCACTACAGAAGCAGGGAGGTAGAAAGGCTGTCTTACCCTAACTTGGCAAAGTTCAGCAGTCTTCTATGTTTGTCTCCTGCAAGCACAGTAGCATGTCCAAGTCAGCGGTCGAGGTGGGGGCAGTTCTTTGCCCAAGAGGTCATTAGCCGAGGAGAGGATGAACTCCAGAAGGAATGACCTCAGTGCCCAACATGCTCTCAAGAAATGCTCGGTGCTGTCAGGAGCAATAGATTTAAATGCCATGTTCTGCAGGTCTATGAAGTGTTTGAAGATCTAATATCTATATCTTCTTTCTCTGGTGAAGAATTCCCCAAAGTCCAAGAACTCTGTTGCTGTATCCCCGGCAAGTCCCAGTGGGCCCTGTTGTGATGAATTCAGTACAGTGCCACCCCCTTGCTAGATACCCTCATTGTGTGTGGGTATCTGTCAGAGATGAAAGAGATACTGATGGGTATGCTCCATTACATCAGGGACCTGTGTCCTATGCCACCTCAGGCCCGGCAACCTTTCCTAGCAGGCAGAAATTGAAATTCTGTAACATGACATCCCCAAGCAAGGGAAATTGATGGAACATTATTGGTCTAATGTGTCTGTGTCAAAATTTGTATCTTCCCATAGAGGACAGTCATACGCTGTACTGTGCTCAGTTTTCTGCTTGTATCTCTTTCGCCCATTTCATTTGCAAAATGTATAGCTATAATGGCTATAGGACCTGCTAGATGTAATTAAAGAGTTAGCCACTGTTTCTGCTACTAACAACAGCAGCAAATGGTAAGGGCCCCCACTTACCCTATACCTGTTCCTGTTCTGGGCTCTATGTCCAATACTTAACATATATTAGGTCATCTAATCCTCTTGTTGACCTTGTGAAATTGACACTATTATGGACTCAATTTATAGCTGCCTTATAAGATGGTAGGAGGAAAGATTAGAGGGGACAATGATCCCTGAACCCCAGATAAATGTCAGTGAACGTCAGCTGACCTGGTGTCTATCTGGAGCCAGGACCACATTCGAAGTGCGATTTTTCACACCAAAACATTTCTGCCCAGTATGTCAAGATCTATCATCTGCTCTAATAGTAAAGTAGCAGTCTATAAGTAATGTAGTCTCAGGGATGGCTATAATCTCTGTGTATGTGCCCAAAGTTAGAACCTTCAGGCTGGGTGTGATGGGGTAGGGGATATGAACCTATAATTCCAGTCCTTAGGAAATCCATTGATTTGGCAGGCACTGGTTATTTGTTGAAAGGAGTTAATAACCTTGTGTCATGTTCAAGGGGTAAAATTAAGAAAAGGGGTCAATATCAGGCTACAGAAACCCACAAAGACAGTTGACCTGAACAAGGGGGAGCTCATGGGCCCCTAGACTGATAGCTTGGAAACCAGCATTGGACCATCTCAAACCCCCTGAACATGGGTCTCAGTTAGAAGGCCTGGGCAGTCTACGGGACCTCTGACAGTGGAACCAGGATGTATCCCTGGTGCACGAAAGGACTTTGGGAACACATTCCCCATGGAGGGATACTCCCTTAGCCTAGAGACAGGAGGGAGGGCCCAGACCCTACTCCAAATGACAGATTTTGATGATCCCTCCTGGAAGACATCACCCTCCCTGTGGAGTGGGTGGGGAATGGGACAGGAGAGGGGGTCAGGGGGCATGGGAGGGAGGGAGAACTGGGATCAATATGTAAAATAAGAAAAATTATTTGTATATATGTATATATGTGTATATATACATATATATAAAGGTTAGGAAGACAATGGATGCATTCAGCTAGGAATCACAATATGTGATATAGTGCAGTAAACTTCCTTATTATTGTGGGTTTTGCTTGTTTGGGTTTTGTTTTTTGTTTATTTGGTTTTTGGTTTTTTTGAGACAGGGTTTCCTCTATGTAACAGCTCTGGCTGTTCTCGAACTTCCAGAGATCTACCTGCCTCTGCCTCCCAGGTGCTGGGATTAAAGATGCACCACCACTGCCAGGCTGTTTTCTTTGGTATTTCAAGACAGGGTCTCTTGGTGGTGTACCATGCTCAAAATCCTGGCACTCTGGAGGCTGAGGCATGAGAATTGCTGCAAGTTCAAGGCCAAGGCCCCATCTCAGAAATAATAAATCTATAATAACTGACAATAAATCTTCATTGTCAACTTGACTGCATTTAGAATCAGCATGGGAAACATGCTTCTGGGTGTGCCTGGGAAGATGTTCCCAGGAGGTTTGCCGCCATGGCTTACTTCCCTGCCACACAGGCTGTGCTCTCTCTTACTCAGACTGTGAACCAGAATAAACCATCCTTCTTGAGTTGCTTTTGTGTGAGACATTTGTCATAACAATGAGATAATAATCCATACAATGTACTAATATGGGATTACTAGTTAGTAATACAATAACTAAATATGGGAGAGCTTACAAGAGAATAAGATCAAATGTTGATAAAAACGTAAAACAACTGGCACTCATAAACTGAGAAGAATTTAAGTTGCTACTATGGTCTGAATGAATGTTCTCATCCAGAATTCATAGGTTAAAATCCAGTACCAAGGTCATGGTATTAGGATGTGGACCTTTGGAATGTGACTAGATAGATCATGGTGGTCCTACACTTATAAGTGGAATTGATCTACTCATAAAGAGGCTTAAAGACCAGTGAGATGGCTCAGCAGGTAAAGGCCACCACACCCAGTGACCTGACTTTGATCCCTGGACTCACATTGTAGAGGGACAGAACCATTTCCTCTGATCTTCACACATGTACATGGCACACTTGCACTGTGGCATATATGCACTGTGGTACACACACACACACACACACACACACACACACACACACACACACACACACGTACACTGTGATTAAAAAATAAAAGCATTGAGCTCTTCTTCCATGTAAAGTCACGGGGAGAGGCTATGGAATCTTGGGTTCAGAGAGCAAGCTGAATTGGCTAGTGCCTGAATATTGGATTCCAAACCTCCAACAATGTCAGAAATAAATTTCTGTTGTCTATACACTCTAGTTTAAGGTGCTTGTTAACAGTACTTGTGGATTCAGACAGTTGTTGTAACCCTGTTGGAAAATTGGACCTAATCCATGGCCCAGAAATTCCATTCCTTGGCATGCTTATGACCGAAGTAAGGACTTGAGTTCTCCAAGAAGTGTAAAACGTTTCAAACCACCACATTATCCATAATAGCCTCAAACTGGATACAACCCCAAATGGCTATCCCCAGTAAAATGGTGTTATGGTTTGGATGAGTAGTCCCCACAAAATAGCTCATGGGTGGAATGCTTGGTCTGCAACTGGTGGAGACCTAGCTGGAGGAAGAAGTCATAAGGCCTGTCCCTGGTCCCTATATCTTGTTCCAGTCCCCCTACCCAGACCATCTTTCTGTCCACCATGAGGTTAAACATCCTCCTCCATGCATTCCCACCACCATGACACTGAGACAGTCTGCCTGTCCTAGGTAGGGTTACTATTGCTATGATAAAACACCATGACCAAAAGCAAGTTAAGGGGAAAAGGTTTCTTTGGCTTACATTTGCATATCACTGTTCAACACTGAAGGCTGAAGAAAGTCAGGACAGGAACTCAAACAGGGCAGGAACCTCAAAGCAGGAGCTGATGCAGAGGCCATGGAGAGGTGCTGCTTACTGGCTTGCTCTTCATAGCTTGTTCTGCTTTGAGAGCCTAGTTTGGTATGGTTTGGGTTTTTGTTTGTTTGTTTGTTTGTTTTTGAGACAGGGTTTTTCTTATGTATCCCTGGCTGCCCTGGAACTTACTCTGTAGACCAGGATGGCCTCAAACTCACAGGGATCTGCCTCTGCCTTCTGAGTTCTGGGATTAAAGTCATGTGCCACCATGCCTGGCGAGCTTTCTTATAGAACCCAAGCCCAAGGGTGGCATAACCCACAATGGGCTGGGCCTTCTCCATCAATCCCTAATTAAGAAAATGCCCCACAGGCTTATGTACAGACTGACATTATGGAGGGATTTTCTTTCAATTAGGCTTCCTCCTCTTGGATAACTATAGCTTATGTCAAGCTGACATAAAACTAATCCAGTAAGTCCACTGCCTCACCACAGTCTAGAAATCAGTGGAGCTCAGGAATGTGGACTGAGATCTCTGAA